GTGAGTAGAAGATTTGTCTCTTTGGTCTTTCCTTGTTTAAACTATACCATAGTTTTGAGCCTTTCTCATCCTCTTTGCATCTTTTGCCATTTAATCTGCATTTGTTTATTTCATCTTGTTTGTCATTGTTGAGGATGAAGGATATTAAGTCATTCACTGTGTATATTGCGTGGTTCTTTCGAAGGCATTTTGCCCTCTGGGTGTTGTTCTTTCGATTGCTTTCATTTCCAGGATGGAAAAAGGCCGGCATATTGAGTTTTAGGGCCATTGGTGCTCTTAGTATTGAGATTTTCAGATTATGCTTTCGTGCTACTTTGATCATGTCTCGTAGTGAGCCTGGTACTTCTTCAATCTTTATTTTTGATTTCCAACTCTGTTCTACCCATTCTGTTATGCATCTTTCGTCCACCATTGGGTTGTTTTGGCGTGCATTTGTTAGTATCTCGTTCGCTGCAAAGGACCATTTAGGTCTCATGTTCCCTGGGGTAAGCCATCGTTTCAGCCACATCACTTTGGTAGCTTCGTATACTAGTTTGACGCTTGGTGCCCCTATTCCACCTTCTTTCTTGTTTCTTATTGCTCTTTCCCATGCAATACTGCCTTTCTTTCCGCCCCATATAAAGCTTCTGATATTTCTTTCCATGGTCTCTAGATTCTCTCTCGATATCCCATTGACTGTCATTAGATAAAGGGCTCGTGACACTACTAGTTGTTTCGCAATTCTTGATCTGGCAATCGTTGTTGGGAAGGAGGATGCCCACAGCTTCATTATTTTGAGTTGCTTTTCCATGATCTCTGACCATTTGTGCTCTGCGTTCACCTTGTTCCCTTGCCACGACCCTAGGATTCTGACTGGCTCGCCATCTTTTGCTATCTTTATGTTGTTTTCTATCCTTTTTCCATTGAAAGTTCTGGATTCAATTAGTTTCTTTCTATATTCTGGATCGCCTACTGGTATGACTTCGGTTTTTGATTTATTAAATTTTGCAGTTGATGCTTTACAGAATAGTTCTATACATTCTTCTAATATCTCTAGCTTGTCTGTTTCACATAGGTATACTGTGGTATCGTCTGCATATGCCATCACTAGTGCATTGAACGTGTCTTTGTTGATGTAGATTCCTTTCAGGCCCGATGTTCGGATTAGCTCAAAGAGTGGTTCTATTGCTATATTGTATAGGAGGCATGATAGTGGGTCTCCTTGTCTTACTCCTCTATCCACTTTGAAGGGATTTGTAGTGCATCCATTTAGTCTTATGGATGTTCCTGCATTTTCATAGAGCTTGCGGACTCTTCTTATGAAGCACTTGGGGATCCCAAATGCCTTCATAGTTGCCCATAGGTACGTGTGGTCTATTCTGTCGTATGCTTTCTCTTGGTCGAGTGCCATGACCATTCCATTTGCTCGTCTATTTTCGCTTAGTTTTATTATAAGTTCCAGGAGTTTTGTCTGGTCATATATGCTTCGCTTTGGCATGAAGCCTGCCTGGTCTAGGTTAATTATCGAAGGTGCTACTGCTTTCAGTTTCCCAGTGAGTATTGTGGTGTATATCTTATAATCGGTGTTGAGCAAAGTGATTGGCTGGTAGTTCTCAATATCTCTTATATCTTTCTTTTTGTAGAGGAGGCTCATTCGGCCTTCTGCAAATCTTTCGTTGATTGGGCCATGGATATCAATGTCAGTGAGCACGATCTTCATTAGCATTATGATGCTTGGCCTTCTATTCCCTGTTTCCTTTGACTTCTTATATCTTTCTAACTCATGCTTCCAGAATTCATTAGGTATCCCATCACATCCTGGTGCTTTGCCTGTCTGTGATTCGCGTATGGTGTCCTCAACTTCCATATACGAGATTCCGCTTTTTAGATTGTGGGTTTCTGTTTTTGATAGTCTTTTCGTGATCTTTTTGAGCATGGATTTAATTGCTGTCTGTCATTCTGCGCTCAGTGGCTGTTTGCTTTGTAGGGACTCATGGTGTGCCCTGGCTATTTCCATCATCTCTTCGGTATTTCGGGTTTCTTCGGCTCCTTTTTTGAAGAGTGAGTAGAAGATTTGTCTCTTTGGTCTTTCCTTGTTTAAACTATACCATAGTTTTGAGCCTTTCTCATCCTCTTTGAACCATCTTGCTGCAATACTGGCGTCTGCTCTGGTGTTGTGTTCCTCAGTTAGGTCCTTTATCTTTTTTTCGGTCACATGCATCTTTGATCTGATATCTTTGAGCTCATTTTCATCCATATAGGGCGTTGGTTTTCGCTGAAGTGCTCGGAGTTCCCGGTCCAATTGTCTTCTCTCTTTTGTAATGTGTTTCCTTCGTATTTGTTGTGCTTCTTGTGCTGCAGTTCTAATCACTTCTTTATAGGATTGCCATGATTCTTGGGGGTTGATCGTTTTCCTTAGGCTTTCGATTTTCCTATGGTTCTTTTTGGTTTTGTTGAGTCCATTCATATAGTATCCTAGCTGTCTTTCTAATTTCTCCAGAGCTTCTGTTGTCTTTTTTCGGAAATGGGGGTGTTCTATAATGTTTAGTGGGAGTCTCCATTCACCTGCTCCAATAAAGGGTGGTTCTGGGTCTAGTATTTTCACTGTGACCCCTGAGTGGTCCGATAGTTTCGACTCGGTCGGTTCTATTCTCCATTCATTCGCTCTTTCTGTTAGTGAGTCTTCTATGTATATCCTGTCAATTCTTGCAAATGAGTGATCGTTTCTGTTTTTTCCGCTCCAGGTGTATGCTCGTTCTTCTGGGTTTGCATTTCTCCAGCCATCTATAAGGTTTAGTTCAGCTTTTAGTTTTGTGAGTTCATTCACTGTTTCTCTGTCATCAGGGTGGCATGGTTCGCGGTCCATATCTTCTTCGACTAAGTTGAAATCTCCCATTATTATTAGGTTTTCCTTTTCGATCTCATTTCTCAGTTTCTTTCTGAGGGCACGTAGTATTTCAATCTTTTCTTTTCTGTCTGGTGGTACATATATCGCTACTATCTTGAGTCTTTGCTGATCATACTCAATGTCTAGCATTCCACTTCGACCTTCGATGAGTGTTGTGAATTTCGATTCTTTTGGTTTCCATTTCTTTGTGTCAATTATGAAGGCTATTCCTCCTCGGTGAGTAGTCTCATGGCTGCAGAAGATTTGCTTGTGTTTGACTTTGAGGCTTTTAACATATTCTTCATCCCAGTGGGTGTCCACAAGTGCTGTTATCGTCATTTCGTTGGTTTTAATCCATTTGCTGATCATTTGGAACTTGTCTTTGGTTCTCTGCTCTACAGATGTTGTTCGTCTCCCTCGGACATTTAGTGAGCCAATTTTGATCCCTGGTATTGGACCTTTTATCATCGAGTTCCTTGGTTTGAGGCTCTTTTGGGGAGCCTGTCTTGTTTGCATGTCTTGTTCATCTTCGAATAGTGAGTCTGTTTCGCTTTCATCAGTATTGTCATTTATTGTCTCTTCTAGGTCTATTTGTAATATGTCCATGTCTTCCAGCTCCAATATATTATCCCAACCTCTATCTTGTGTGTAGATTTCATTGGCTTGGGACTCTTGGGGCTGTATGCGTTCGCAGCCAGGAGCTTCGATTACTGATGCTGGAGGGGACAGCTCTGGGAATCTCCCTTCAGTCCGGGTGTTTCTCTCTCCAGTGCAGGCTCTCCGGACACCTGCATCGATTAGAGGTTCTGCCAGCACCTCGTTGCCGCCCCTCGTGAAACCGGCAGGACAGCGATTCGATAGGAGATCTGCTTCTGTTTCTGTTGTGTTGTAATTCATGGTATTTGGGTCGCCTAACGGCACTTGTGGTTTTGTTTGTTTGGGTTCACTGCTTTTGTTGTACCCATTGACCCCTTTTTAGGAGGCCTTCCGTTTCTGGACTTATGTGTCTCTCATCTGGTATGTGGCGATGAATTTTTATTAATACTATTTCCTACAGTCATTATAGCATATGAAAGATTTGGCATGTGTGGTTGACTGCTTCCTTTCTCTTTCGCTCGGTTGCAGCATATGTGCTCAGCACTTTCTTTTCTCCCTGCGATCTTTTTGCCCCATTCTTTTCTGGCTCACTTCCGTTTCTCTCTGGACATCTTTCTGTCTATGTTCGGTCTATGATTACCCAGATGGTGGGTTGGGAGATTTCCAGGTGGTCCCAGTTACGGTATGGTGAGAGTATATAATAGATCTGGGTGGCCATCGGATAAGGCCTATTTTGGTAGAGTCCGCTGATATCATAGGCGGGTTAGTGTTTTGATAGGTCAAAATAGGCAAAACCGTCACAGATTTGATTGGTAGGCATGCATGCATCAGGAAAACGTCGGTCCTCCCTAATTCTCACCTAGCTACCCCTATTCAATGACTGAATTGAAGATTTTGACATTTGAATTCTTGGGGTAGCTAGGTGAGAATTAGGTGAAAAGACATTTTGCTGATGTGTAGGAGTTGTCTCCAAACCGATAACCCCGGCTTCTCATTTCCCAGATATATTGTAAGGTTTGTAGCGAGTGCATGATGCACTGCCATTCTATTATAGATGGATGGATATGATATGTGCTCATCTTTAGGGATCAAGGTTGGGTTTAAGATTTAGTGGGTGTCTCTGCCTTTTCCTCCGCTCTCATGGTCAAGCCGTGTTTCTGATGTTCGTTTTAGGCTTTTCCAAATTGGGTTAAATCTCTTTGGCTGCAGCCTAGGTCTCTTAGATTCATGGCGTGGTCTGGTGACTTAAAGTTCTTATTACTCAGGTTTATTTTGGTCACAATAGGTCTGCTTTTTGTAAGAGCATTGGCATTTCATGTGCTGGCTATGTGCTCCTCGTCATGCTTCTGCTCCTCTCAGGTTTGCCCTATGCCAGTCTATTGTTGGTCTTGGTGATCACCCAGGTTGTCGGTTGTGGATTTGTTTGAGTCTGGGGGTGGTCTGGTTGCCTGTCTTGGCCTGGCGACTCTATGATCCACATTTCATCTTCACCGGTATCTTGGGCAAGGGGTGGAGCTCCTGGGAATCTGGGTTTTAGGCCAGGTCAGCTTCTCGAAGAGAGGGGCAGATGTGTTGGTCTTACAGTCTGGATGCGTGTGGGTGCATGTTTGATTCGGGAGTATCCAATAGCTTGTGTATGAAGGAGCTTTTGCCTCCTTGCATTTGATTTAGGGTTTCATGGATTTTAGCCCATTGGTCTTTGTTTGGTGTTACGCTTTGGTAGTGGTCGCTCATTGTTTTGGGGGCGGAAGAGATGAGAGGTTATCTGTCCTTGGGTAGCTCCGCTTTTTAAAGCAGTTTGTGGTGTGCTGCCGGTC